AGGAGGAGGAGAAGAAGATAAATTAAAAGCCACGAGTCGCGGACTCTTCCAACAACTGGTGGGTATTGCGCTTGCTCACCTTGAGCTCTCTCTCATTTCTCTCTAGTGCTCACACAAGAAGAAGAAGAAGCAAAATAAATTTTTCATTAATCATTCATCAAAATTCTTACAACACATTGGACCACTATATATAGGTCTCAATCATGAAAAAAGAAAAGTACGCAATTGCCCTCTGGGCTACAATAACAAGACATTTCCCCAAAAGGGATAAATTCGGAAAACAACAAAACTAAATAAACATAACATGAAGAAATGCATCAAAAATAAAGGCGCAGAATCGTAGTCGTAGATCTACGATTCCTTCGTCGATAAATAGCATCTGTCGATGTCCTCATCAGTAGGAGTCAAATTTCGAACTTTTGAAATCCTTCTTGGCAATGACTGGAGTCAAGTTCCAACCTTTGAGTCATACTCAACAGTTATAATAGAAGTCAATTTTTGGCACTTTGGAGTCCTCATAGGAATCCCAATAGATATGTTCCAACCTTAGGGAATTGTCCTCAACAATCCTAAGATTCCTACCTTCAAGAGTCCTCTAGTATCAAGTGACTACCAACCCATGCTTTAGCCAAAAACTTGCATGCTAGTAGCATGTTTGGTAGAAAAATCCTTTGGAATTTCTGGCAGACTTTCCACCATAAATGAGTTTTCCCGATGAATTTTATCGGTTTTCCTGCAAATTTTTCCTTTAGAAAACCAATTCTTTCTTGTGGTGCTTGTTCTAAATTCCATACAAAGTATGCATTTATGAACCTCACTATTGGTCAGCAAAGCAAGCATCCTGTCATAATTTTTTTTTAATAATGGTGATACTTATATTTCAAAGTATGGTGTTCGAACCCATGATCTTGAAGAAACAATACTCTCCTCCATGAATATTTTCACTCCTCTCATAGTAACTAACTTAGCGTTAGAGGCCCTTATCTTGGGGAGCCCTTATGCTGAACGCTAACCTCTTATCTTGGTTGCTGGATTGCAGGATGATGCTTCAAACTAAGAATGATTCAACGAAAAAAGTCTGTCAATATCAAATCCGCCTTCTACACAATATTTCTCTCCCAACTAAAGTCTATAAAATTTCATTTATAAACCCAAAAGAAGAAAACAGTTGCAAAAAATCCAACCTTAAGTCTAATCATGTACCACTAAGAACCTGAGAGCCAGGCGCTCTCCAGAAATTGTATACAGGTTACAACAGCCTCCATAAAACAGTTGTGTTACTGTTCACGTACTCCCCCAATTAATCCTTCACAAACTGAAAATTGCTTGCCGTGTGAAATAAACATGGACATTTCAATGAATCAATGAATCGCCATAATATACCAATGCTTAAACTCAAAAATTCCAAAGCAAAGGCCGACCGAAACTTACTAAACCTGTCAATTTGCTGCTGAGGAGTCATGACGTTAGGAGGAAGAAGGCCACGAAGATCCAACCTGTCCCGCTCTGTGATCGGGAACGCGGTGCCCTAAAGAGGAACAATAATAACTAATGAGAAAGCAATAGGCCTTGTCATTGGAGGCGCTAGATCGAGGTTAGATCGATACCTTATTGAACCAGGGGTCGTGCAGAATGTCAAGGCTCCGCTTATGGACGATGACCGGCCGTGACCCCTCTGAAGTTGTGAACGCCCGCCATCCCCTCGATGCCGCCGGCCAACACATCCGCCGTGCGAGCAAGAAGGAGAAGAAAGCCATGCCGCCGGTGAACTCACTGTGACTAACGCTATACTTGTGTGCTTCTGTACAAATGAATGGTTCTGGATTTTCAGTGATCAAGTGGTCTATTCCTAACAATGACCTCACGAAAATTTTATTATTTCATTCACTCCAAATATGATCTAACATGTTTTGGATATGATTTGGATAAGCAGTAGAGAAATCGACTGTAAATTAGATTTTTTATTATTATTATTTTTAATATATAATTAATTTAAAATTTTACAATTATATTTTATAATAATAATTTAACAACAAAAAAGGCTTTAACAATGATTTTGAAATGCTAAAGAGAAATTTTATATTTTTTGAATTATCATAGTGAAAGAAAAAACATATAAATTACACAAATTAAAAATTTTCTCCAAAGATGATTGAAATTGACTTTCATTAATAAAAAGAACATGTTAACTTGAACAATTCCACAAACAAAGAGATCAAAGGAGAAACAAATACCAATTTTTATTTAAGAAATTAATCAAGCTTAGAATGTTGGCGACACAATTCGAGTTAGGAGTGTCAATTTCGGGTCACGGGTCGGGTTCGGGTCGAACCCGGAATTGACCCGGCACTATTCGGGTTCGGGTCAACCCGACCCGTTTTTGCAAACGGGTAGATTTTTGGACCCGAACCCGACCCGCTTCGGGTTCCGTCCTTCGACATTTTCTGCACAGGCGGTGACTCGCGGGATCCGGCAGCGGGAGATGGCAGCGGCCGCCAGTCGCGCCAGACGACGACGCGAATCGAGCAGGCGGCCAAGCGTGGTCACGCAGTCAAGCTACGCGCGGTCACGAGGGCAGGCTACGTGCGGTCACGCGGCGACATAGGCAGGCTAAGCGCGATCACGCGGGCAAGCAACCGCAACGCGGCTCCATCTCGGGCAGGCTACGCGCGGTCAAGTGGGTCATCAAGGTCATTTCCGGGTTTCTGAGTCAGCCCGAACCCGACCCGCTTCGGGTTCGGTTCAACCCAAACCCAAAATTTTCTGCTCGGGTCCAATATTGACACCCCTAATTCAAGTGGACATTTTGTTGTGTTTATATGAAATTCAATTGGTGCTTTGTTTGACCTTAGCAAAATCAAAAGAAAAATAATATTAACAATTTTATAGTCTGTAAGAAAAATATATACATCTGAAGTAAATATTATAGTATATCTTGCATCACCTTAGCATATTAAAATTGTTGTCCATAAAAAACTTTCGGACTAAATAATAAATATTCAAAATGAAAAAGAAATATTATTACTAAAGAAAAGTATAAATTATATATAAAAAAGAAAGAAAAATAAACATAAATTAAGTATAAGGAGAACCTTAAGCTTTTTTTAACTCTGAGGAGCGGCGGGCTAAGGCAAACCAAATTTTAGAAATGAGAGAGGGCATTAGGACATTTTATTATAAGAAAAAAATTTTTTGTTATGCTTATTTGGATAACTCTTTGAGAAAGCACTGAGAGATCGATCCAATCAAAAGCCTTACGAATGTCAGATTTGTCATATAGTTTTAGGAGAGTTTAAAAGATTAAAGCCAATGAAAAGCTCAGACGCAAGGGCATTATTATCTAAAATGCCTTGATTATTTTCATAAATTATTTATAAAATTTAATATTTGAATTTGTTTGATCATTATATTAATTTATCCTAATTTAGTGAGTTTAAATTATGAATTCATTTAATTAGATTCAATGTATTGATGTGTTTATGCTAATTTAATTTGATTAATATGTTAATTTTATTTTTTTATTTAATTCGGTTTGATTTTAACACTTTTATTTCATTAGATTAAGTAAAATGAGAAAATTTAAGACGTGATTTAAAAATTGATTTGATTGATTCAATTTAATTTGTTTTAATCAATTTATTTGTTGATTAAACTTTTATCTCATATTTTGATGATTTAATTTCTTAGTGATCATTAAAAAAACTCAATTTATAAAACAAGAAGCAAAATTAATTGAAATGTATAAAATATAGCTTAAGAAAAAAATTTATGGCACAAATGAATGATTTGCATCAGCGATGAAAATTTAACGGCTAAGATTTTATTGGTGAAATTTAATGAGATTTTTAACAGTAGTATAAATTCTTAAACATATTATATGTACAATATGTTATAGGGGATTTTAAATATAGCATTTTTTTTAATATAGCATTCAAAACACCATGATTTACATACTTAACCCCTAAAATTTAATATTTACATTTATAACTTAGTTAACAGAAATATTGTTAGACACTTGTCGAACTGAGTAGAGAAGAGGCGGACCTTCGATGAACAAACTCTTCGTTTGGATCTGACAGATACTACAGTTGGAAGCTCAAACATGATCGAGGTGCAAATCAATGGAGGTGGCAACTGTGAGTTATGAACACAAATGAGAAAGTCATGATGGGAGTTATAGTAACAGAACAGTCTGTATTCAAAGGCTAAAAGGAAGAACAATATGTGGAGGGCGATGAAAATAACGGTAATTGATGGATTATGAAACATAATGGGACGAACGAACAGAAACATGATAAGACATGCTGTTTTTTAGTTTATTTAGATATTTTAAGTGTTATGCATGTAAATTATAAAGTTTATATGTTAAATATATAAATACTAATACTTTGACTATTATTTACCTAAATATAGTATAAATTTTTATAAATATTATTTTTACAATTTTTGTTCACCTTCACCGGACCCAGTCCGAATCCTATTAAATTTTTATGGTTAAAAAATCAAAAGGTAATGTAAAAGCTACTTTGTTAACTAATCGGAGAAATAGAGTTTTATCCATCACAGGTTAACGTTGCTAACATATATGTACTGGGGTACAATCAGTAGCAGGTTGTAATTGGATCATCATTTAACCATTATGTTTTTATCCATCACAGGTTAACACTACTAACATGAAATGGGGTACTGTCAGCTGCAGGTTTTAATTGGATCATCAGAAATGAGGCTGTAAACGAGCTCTTTTTTTATTATTATTATTGAACTGAACTAGTACTGGATCTGCTTGACAATTGCTCTAATTCTATCTTCAGAGGAAATTCTTGGCGTTAAATAAATAAATAAATAAATTTAGCATCCCTAAGACTAAACTGACCGAATGGATGATTATACATTCATAAAATTAATCCTAAATAATTAGGATAAAGATAATAATGACATTGGGAGTTCAAAAGATCACAGCCATGATGTTATTGCATACACGAATCAAATTAAGATAAGGCAACCTAAGTACTATGACAAAAAATACAAAATGCTTTACAAAATTGATCTTGAATGGGCTGATCTTGGCACCGGTTTAATCTTGTTTGGTTTTCTCTGTTGTTCGCACTCGTTGCTTTTATGGGTGGCTATTTTTGTGATCCTGGCTTTTATTTTGTCTTTTCTCTTGCTTGATTGTGTATTTAGACTGAATCTAAGATTTGCAGGTTTCACTTTAGATGGTGTATTTTAGAATGTTTTGGATTCTATAAGAACTTGTATCATGCATTACTTTTATTTAACGCGTAGGCCTTTACAATGAATTTTAATAAAAAAAAAATTGCTTTACAAGATTGAGGATAAAATAAGAATACCATTCAATGCTGAATAGAGCAAGCTCATATACTTAAGAAAACAAGAAGAGCTGTAGGTATGTGAAGTAAGGGTTGATCAGACATGAACTTCTCTATTTAATGCAATTAGTCATCGTTTCCTTCAAGAATGAAAGTTTTACAATGTGTTCGAGACTCGGCTCAATTTGGTCCATTGGTTGAAAGTTTTGATTTTCAATTAAGAAGTTTTGATTTCAAGTCTTACGGATTTCATGTGTGTATGAATTTGGCTTAATTAGTCTAAATATCACAAAATAACAATAATATTGTGTTTGAAATTTATAAGAGTTTTGACTGTTTTGATCTAGTAGAGCTGTTTAGCTCTTCTACATCTTGCTTCTTCATGTTACTCCTCACATCGCCAAGAGTCTGTTTGATTGGTTCTAGCCCATTTAAACATGATTTGACAAGTTCTAGCATGGATGAGGTTTCTTCAACTGTTTTGAGGCGAATCCACAGAATTTTTCTCCAATCTGAATCAGATGCTAGTTTAGCTAAATGCAAGATAATTAAGGCTTCGTTTGGGACGACTTTTTTATTACTTTTTAAAGTAGTTTTCTTAATTTTTTATACTAGAGAACTTTTTTAAGAAGCAACAAAAAAATTGTCGCAAACGAAGCCTAAGACTCAATAACTTGTACTCCACTGCAGATACTATGAAATTCAGGTTTCACTTTTAACAAATAAGCTTGATTAGGTGGAGTTTAGTTGTGAATCGACAACTTAACTGCTGACAGGAGGAAGACAAGGCCGTGGAAGACGCAGATTGGATGAAGGATTTCTGTTTCAAATGAGATCAAGAACTGTGTAACTAAAACCAACTATTAGTTAGTTAGTTAAGTACTGCTCTAGCTAACTTGCAGTTAGAGAGTTGGAAGAGTTAGAGAGGATTGATTTCTATTGTTAGTTGGATTATTGGTTGTTAACTGCAAAAATAGTGTGATGTTTAGGTATGTTTGAGATTATGTTTTTTTTTTTTTTTTTAAATATTTGTTTGGTGTGTTTTAAGTTTTTTACTTTTTTATTTTTAAAAATAAATTAAAATTGTTTTAAGAACACTAAAAATAATTTTGTATTATATTGAATATTTTTATTAAAGAAAACTATGATCACATTCTTCTATCATGCATTGCGCCATCATTAGCCGATTCCACCATTGCCACCAGTTGACACCATCGATAGATGTTGCTACCATTATCACCATCGATGACCACAAATGACATTCACTGCAACTAGCATATATATCTGCAATGGTGGTCATGATCACCCCTATTACTTTTGTGTGGAATTTGATAGTTTTTATCAATCATGTATTCGATTGTGTGTGTTGGGGGGGGGGGGGGGGTGGGGGGGCGTTCCTCCTTCTGCTAGTTTTTTTTTTTCGTAAATATCTCTCTATTCGAGCACCCGTTGTTTGTGTACTCGAGTGTCCTGGAGCTGTAGAGTTTGCTAGGAGAAATGACAGAGAGTGAAGTGCTACAACACT